GGCACCTCGCCAACACCACTGGCCCTTGCCCATCACCAATGATCGGCCAGCCTCGTTCACCACAGGTACGATCGTAATTGCCCGGAGTGCAGCCTGTGGGAAGAACAGTTGAAGTGCCGCAGCTACACTCATTCCTACTTTGGCGTGAGGGTCTCCACTGGGAGCCCCTGTAGAGCGAATATCGCATATACGCTGAATCAGCTGCAGAGCAATTTCGGAAGAAATCAATTCCCTGTTTCAAAGAGCATCCACAAAATGCAGTCCGCCGTAGTGAGAGGTACCGGGCGTGCTCGCCGAAAACAAGGAGAGCTTCTCCTGGCGCTTTCCCAACATTATCCCCGACAGCTCCTAGGCGCACAATCGTCATAGCAATGCCTGAAATCATCTGTACTCTTTCCATAGAAGAGCTCTCGGTGCCCACCGTGCTGTTGTTCGCGGTCAATAGCCATGCCTGGGCACTTCCCTTGCAAGGCCTTCAGCCTAGCCATTATGTCGGCTGTTGTGTGGTAGAAGGCCGGCAGAGCTGATGATCTCTCGAGACCAGCAGTAGCGCTGGAGAACAGTGCCCGAGTTAGCATTAACGATACCCATAAGAGCATATTTATGGCTGAAGACTCATCAGTGTCATTGACCAACACGATTCGGGAAAAGATAGGGAAATACACGGCAGAGGTTATAGCAGTAGTAGGGTAGATACTGTACTACGTAAAGCAGCGAAACACGATAGAAGTAGACCCTAATAGGGCCTGCGCGACGTTGACCGAGAGAGATGATGAGGAGCTACTCATCGTCATAGATGATAATAATGATAGTAGTATGCACATTTATGGACATCTTTACTAGAAGTCGTTATGAGGTAAAGGACCGTCTCAATGGTATACCAATACTACAATGAGGAAAAGAACAGGCACGATTTTTTCTTTTAGATATCGTACAGTGAACCACGCCGCTGACCATATCTCAGAATGCTGCTGATAACAACAACAATAGTAGTAGTAGATGTTTCCAGCTATTTCTGATTCACTCATCACAGCACTGGTCAGCAGGCATAAGAACAACCTTCAGAAGAGATAAAGGAACCTGCACTACCCACGATAGCTACCACAACCCAGCAATAACGACCTACACGTGAAGTGAATTATTATTAAGTCGTCCATCCAATCCTTGTTAATCATCCCACAGTACTCACACTACTAGGCCCCGTCGCCTCGGTCTTCCTAGCGGTGTCCTCTACAACAACACCAGCGTAAAGCACCTTTGATGATGTAGTGTATCACCTGTGTGAATGGAAGTAGCGCTCGCCCTAGGCTCATTCACACCACTCAAGGTCGGCGAGGGGAACCCTGCCCGACGTGCTGCCACCCATACAGGAGGAGTCGCCAAACCATATCTGCACATTGCCATATACACTACGCGCGCGCCCGATTGATCGATTTGAGTTATTACTTCTGTCCCCACCAACCGCCACATTCAAAGCTGCGGCGAGCACAGCGGAATGCTGCTGCCACCGCCGGCCATCGCCACACTGACTGGCCCAGATTGACGTAGTCACCTAAAGTCGATTCATGACCGGGTCGCCAACAACAGGGATGCTCTCGGAGGGTCGAACAGTTTACTACCACATAGAGTATCACATTTACCACTGAGATAGTCCCCCCTCTTGTTAAAGCTCATTAGAACCGCTAAGACCTTTTCGTATGCTTCACTACTGAGTCGATATTATTATTACCATTCAAGGCAAGAGGGTCGAGGATGACCATCATATCCGTAGCGAACCGCGAGGCCAGGATAGGGTCCTCCGACCGTTCACAGAAGTGCGAGTGAGTCTCCGCCGCGACCGGCCTTATTGCCAATCGACTCGCCGAGAACGACCGCATGCAGGTGCCTATGGCAATCACATCTCCATGGGGGGAACGACGACCGGCCACCCACCGTCAGAGAGTATGAGATTGACTTTATCCAGGAATTGTCGGCCACCCTCAAGATGGGCCTCCTCCACACAAGGATCCTCTTCGCCACCATACCAGTAGAGCATACCCAACAAGAGCTGACCCAATGATACGTTCTGGTGAGAAGCGTTATTGCCATAAAATTGATTTAGGAAAGATACCACCATGAGGACCTATTCTGAATCTTACCACACCACAACCTAAGATACTCACCAGCGTGTAGCTACTCATCCCACCATCGTACGGCGTCACCAGCCCGTCACAGACCAAGACGTGTTTTATCACCAACACCAGAGGCCGGAGGCAATCATAATGCTGGCAGAGCATAGCTACGTATGCCGAAGTCTCGATACCTTCCAAAGAGAACGCGGTCACCGTATAGGATCCCCCCAGAGCTACTACCACTGTGTGCGGGTCCTGTGACAGATATCTGCACTTTTACCGATGAATGTAGAGGACAGCACTCTCCAAAGCCGCCCTCGCAAGTCGAGCACCTATTCCGCATTAAGTTCATACCACACCTTCATCACATCCTACCATTTCTTCTCAGCTGCTGACTGGGCCGGCCCCTTGCACTGTAGAGTTAACAATGGAATTCGCGATGATGCAATGACCACAGGGGTGTTCACCAAAACACCTAAAAAAACCTAATGAGCTCGAGGGCATTTCCAACAGGTCATCCAGCATCTATGAAAACAGACAGACAAGTACCGCATTTTATATGATTTCAACTTCGCCCGATTCGACCACTACTGGAAGATTTCCCCTCGCAGGCTACCCACCAGCACTGGGAGCATGGGGAAGGATTGAAGTGAACTGCACCACCACAACAACGCCGAGCTGGTTGTCATGACTTACGGTATTCGAATACCCTATAGATGCTATTGAATTCACGCACATCTACCCCTGAGGTGCCGAAGACTGCCACTAGGAGAGAAATTCAGTTCATTTGATAAAACGTACGATGTAACCACCCTCTTCCCGATAGTACCCTGACCTAGCCTCCTCTCCAAGTGCTGAGCTACTAGGTACAACAGCTTTAGTCGCTCCTCGGGCGTACATGTAATCTCGGGATTGTGGTTCCCGCCACACATACTTGAGCTCACCTGAAGGGACCGTAACAGTCTAGGGAGGATACCACAGCTACCCACCGAGCTTGGTGACGATCCACCATCACCACTGTTCCGACGACGGTTCGATCTAGTCGGTATCAACACGAAATCCAAATCACTAGCCCAAGGCAGATGCAAATTGTAGGCGTACCTGGAGAGCACCAGTAACCGCCCCAGCCCGTCGCTCTCGACCACTCACGAGCCGAAGACGATAGTCTTGATGCGGCAGTGAGCAAGGTGGTACGGATGGAAGCTGGCCAAGGCGTGCTCGATCTACATACAGAGAGGATTGTAGAGAAAGCCCCCGTAAGAGTCCAACCTCATTAGAAAGGGTGATACGTTTGAGATTGTCACCACTGACACTGTATGAGTCGACGAAATGCATAAATAGTCCAACGTCAACGGTAACCTGAGGCACCATAGCCTTGACCGCGCCCCACGAAATTATACTACCCTGTCCGCAACACTGTCAGTCTCAGCCCTGGCGGTACCGTGAAGGAGTGGATCGGCCTTAGGAGTGCCCTGAACAAATTCCATGACCGCGCGCCACAAAATTACCCCACCTCCTCTAGACCGGAGCCAGTATCGTCTTCCTGCCCCGAGCCACCCCTCTCTACAGTAGAGGGAACATCCTCACTCTCCCCAATATCGACTGAGGACTCCTCCTCAGTCCCAGCAAGGGAGACTCTGCCGTCCTCAACCCTTTCTCTGGAGGATTCCTGTCTGCGACCACGGCCCTTAGGTGGCTCCATACTGTTCTGACGACTGGATCTAACACGAGAGGCTACTGCCAACCACCCTAGGAGTGAGATGAGGTCACCTCAGGCTGTCCTCTCGACCGCTAGAGTCGTCCTTGCCGCGGCTCGACTGGTCGTCGGACTCAGTGGCCACCGGTGCCGCGGCAGTGGTGCTTTCCGGTGATGGAGAACGAGACGGTGATTTACCGTTCAACGTAGAGGAGGAGGAGGAAGAGGAGATAGAAGAATCTTCCTTTTCTTCACAGTGCGCAGGGGTCGGGAGCATACCCAAGCGTACCTCACCTCACACAACTCACAAATCCACATGAGGCGTCTCCTCACCTTGATAGTGTTCTCGACCTCTGCCCGGTCCTCCTTGGTCAACTCCCTTGGCTCAAAGGGCGGTGTATGAGGCCCTACAGGTCAACTACTGCAATAAACACCTTCGTCTCCTACGGTGATAACGGTGATTCCGATGATGATGGTGATACAGATGCGACCGCCCTCCTCCTCCTCCTTTTCGGGGTCGGTCGTTCGAGCTGAGTTCAGGAGTTGACGAACCTGCCAGTAACTTCCTCTTCATACCACTCCAAGCTCAATAGAACTCAGATTGAAACCCTGGCTATGGTCATGAGCAAGGCCCCTCCCTACCGCTCCGGTCGTCGCCAGGATGATGGCTACTGCGGGGACGGTTGTTGGTCGTCGTGGTGGTAGGTGCCTCGGCGGCTGAGGAAGGCCCTCGATGGCTGTGGTATGTTCGCTGTCGAGGAAGAGGAATAATGAAAGTTGGATGAGATGAAATGCACTGGTGGGGCCGACCAGACGGGTAGCACTTAAAATTTCCAATCGAGGAAAAATGATATTCGTGCAAACAAATTCGAGCGGAGCGAAGCTTGTTCCTGCAATCGAATCTTGACGTCACGATCAAACCCGAACTCGGCCGCTCATATCAATGACGGACAACACCGTGGGTTCTTCTACAGCTGATAACGATACAAAGACAGGTCTCTTCAGGCGGGTACGGTAGAGGCTTCCGAGTCGACCACAGTGGAGGAATTATCTTCGGATGACGACGACAAGGAGGGACTACCGGCTGTGGCAGAGACGAAACCGACTGAGGCAACGAAGAAGCCCCTTTTGGTATGGTTCAGCTGTGGGGGAGGGTGTTCGATCGCCGTGGCTATGGTCAGCCCCTTGCTCCGATGTTCCTACCCCCACAAGAACGCCTGGCTGCATTAAAGAGGAGGGAGGCGGAGCTGGAGGCGGCTAAGGTCACTGAGACCAGTGAGAGACCACGGAAGGAGAGGAAGGCTCGGAAGGTAACTGCTATGGAAGGTGGAAAGTAGGAGGTCGTCATTACAGCCGTCTGAGAAGGGGAAGGGTAAAGCCAAAGAGACAGCCAACACGACGGAGGACGCGGAAGAGGAGGAGAGGAAGCTGGTGACACAGGAGAGGGAGGCGGAGGTGTCACCGGAGGCGACTGAGGAAACGGTGATAGAGGAGGAAGGGGGACTCTTAGGGGAAACGATGGGGAAGAGTCCGCCTCCGGAGAAGAAGACTGTCGTAGGGTGGCCTCCGAGTGCCTTCGACGATATGATAGTCGCATTCAGCCACTGGCCCCGATATTCGCGCCCAAGAGCGAACGCTTGCGGATGGCAGCTGAGAAGAAGCTTGCAGAGGAGAAGGGCGCTGTAGAGGAGACCAGGGGTGGTCGGAAGAGGCGTGTCTCGCGGGTCGGCCTGCAACAGGGCAGCCATCGTTTGAGCAACGACCCTGTTGGCCAGGTGAAGTACGTCATTGAGGACGCCTCAGAAGATGATGACGAACCCCCTCCTCCTCCACGACGGCGGAAACAGGCAGGGGGCGATGGCCAGTCGGCAGCGATAGTAGAGACCCTCTTCAGGTGGCCCGAGCTAAGCCAAAGGCTCGGAATAAGCCTCGACGATCACCCGAGTCGGAATCGGAGTATTCTACCTCTGAGGCCGAGTCGGTGTTGCCTCCTCCTCCTCCGCCCAAGGTGGTCTTGACTGAGTACAGTGCGGCTCCATTGAAGGTCGCGGGCTCATCGAAGTCTACAGGACCTGTATTCGGCATCTTTTCTGGACGCAGCAGTGGTAGGCGCGATGCTCAGAATCTTGTCTAATTAGCGGACTACTGAAATTCCCCGAATCATGTCAGCGTCCTCCCAGCCCAACTGCCGGTCGGAGGTCCCAGTAGAGCTCAAGGGGGTCTCCCCATCTCCCTTCTGTGGATCCATCAATTACATTGGTCACGAAGAAGTCGACCCTCCCATGACCCCTCTCTGGTCGAGCCGCCCCAGCCGCGTCCCTGAGGAAGCCCCCGAGATGCTCTCCCGGTCCTCGGCCGAAGTACGTCATCCTAGGGGGACCCCGACCGTCATCAGCTGAGCTTTCAGGTGCCATCTACGGTCGCCAGCAGCCAGGTAGTGGGCAAGAGCATAGGCCCTCTCCCTTCCTGGGACGAGGTCCGACGTGATGATATCGAAGAGGCCGTAGGGGCGATGATGGTCCCTCGAGACGCCCGTGCCTGGTCGGCCCCGCTCGAGCCCCAAGATACGCATCAATGGCTGGCAGCCCGGATATCCTCAGGCATTATTAATCATCGTCCTGTACTGGCCTCGACATGGGGTGCTCTTCAGACCGGATGAATGCTCACGAGGACTGCAGACAATATCACAAGAATTGGAATCGGCACCATCTCCTGCCCCCTTCCGCACGCCACAAGCACGCCTTAGCCAAGTGGCTCAAGCTGTGGGTAAAGCGAGCGGATACTGCTCGGGATCGTCGTCGCATGGAGGCAGCCACCACTGCGGTAGCTACAGCGGCAGCATCGAAGCGCCTACGGAAGGCTGGGGTAATGATGGAGATGTCGGCCCTGGGATTCGAACCTGCGACCTCTGCTGTGCCTATTCTCAGAAAGCCGCCGCGACGAGTTCAAAAGTCCAAGGAGCGCCCGAGTATGCTTGGGTCATTTTGATATCGTATCACGTATCACTTCAGGGCCGATGAGGACGGCTGGATACAGAAGAAAGGCAGCAAGGGACGGACCAATGGCAGTCGGGGTCTCAGGCGTCGTAGGCCACCTTGGCACTAAGCCGGTTGCCTCTCTCTGTCCTCAGAAATGTGTTATGGATGCGACGGCTCGGTTTTGGTCTTCGAGCCTCCGAGTAAGAGTCGAGGCAAGCGGGGCCGGCGACAGTCAGATACCTCTGATGCCGAGGGGGTCGTCAGCGGCCCGACTTACACCCCTTTTGGATGCAGTGTTGTTATCACTGGCGGCACCGGCTGTGGCAAGACTAGCTTAGTCTACGCTGCAGCTCGAGAGGTAATGTGCTCACACTAGCACTCGAAAGGTCGTGAGTTCAATTCTGGGGGCTAACATCCATCTCCGGCGTCCTCCGGTTCACATCGTTGACTCCTTCCTCGACATCCAGAACGGGGTGCTCGGGTTGTCAAAATTTTCCGCTCCCCTCAGGCTGGCGTAGCAGTGGTAGAGCTATCCGTCGACTCCTGTCCACCGGGTCACACCGTTCAAGTCGGCCTTATGATTGAGGAAGCCATCAAGAGCAGGTGTTGGCTTATCCACTCCTACCTACTTGTTAGTGTGTCCACCACCTGGTCAGCTCCGTCGATCTCCGAGGGAGTCAGCCTAGTGTCGCTTCGAGCTCCGACGGCAAGTGTTCGCCTAGTCCTGAGGGAGATGCTCCGTTGAACACCGGCCTCCTACAGCTACTCTTAGTTGATGACGTTGACGCTATTGTCGCCAATGATCGCAGGTGGGAAGCCTCTTGGTCCCCTTACATTTCGCCAACAAGGGTTTCATACCCATGCTTCATGTCAGTTACGGCTCTCTGTTCGGTCAGCTTATAGCGGCTTCCCGCCGCCCAGTGGTCTTCACGGCTCGATCGGTAGAGGACCTTCCGAGGCAACTCCGGCCTCAGCCGATACGTCGACGGGAGATTATAGAGTTCTGGGACGACCTGGACTCTTCCCCGTAGAACCTTCTTTCCGTATTCTGTCAGCGAATACCACTCCACAGACTACTCGTACAGTCGAGTCCGCAGCAGCTGCCTATCCCTCGGCCGTCTCCTAGGATGGTCATGGCCGTAGCTCTACAGCTTGCCGAGGCCCTCTATGGCGCGGACGTTGAGGTGTGTCGGCTCAGTGTGGGGAAATTTTTTGTGACTATCATCGCTCGACTTGGGCTGGCAACTTGCCTCCCGAATCGTGATTGAAAATTATCGATCACCATGGGATGGTTCACTGTCATCATTGGCCGCTTTCAGAGCTCCGACTTGCCGCCACCGTCGTCTTGTACTGATTTCCGTCGAGCCACTCTAGAAGTAGAAGCATCCAGACGAGTCGAGGCGGCCGCCGTCCCCACTGAGGGCGGCGAGCCTAGTACATTACTGTTTAGTTCACAACAGGATCAGCTCACGTTAGAGGAGCTTAGCTCGGTCTCCCGCTTGCAGAGTGCAGTGGCGGCAGCGGCCTGGACGGAACCTCAGCAGCCAAAAGAGTCCGAGGTCGTTGAAGCGCTACGGTGTCTGGAGGGGAATCTTAGAGTGTCGAATAAGGAATGTCAAACCACTGTTATTCCTCTGGCTATGCATACGCTGGCCGAGCGAGATCTTGCTGGGACCGCTACCACGCGTCGAACTACTCGGGAGAACGCCACTGAGCTTTTCAAAATGTGACATCTTCACTGCTCCGCTCCGCCGAAGTGAGATCGAATTTCAGGTGGACGGAGAGGCAGCGTGTCCGGATGGGACCGGCGGCGACTTTGAAGAGATGCCTAGCACAGGAAGCTGTCGGAGTCTTATTAGAACTCTACGATCGATACCCGGGCGTGACTACGATAGAATGCAGCCGTGCTGAGCCGAGCGAGGGCTCCCTTCCCGACACAGATATGGAGACCACCAACTCTCAGGCTGGGGTCGATTATCCTCCTCCTGGCGACTAGATTTGCTGATGAATTTATGCACGTTTTCACCATGATCATTGTTCTCTTCGAGTTCGGATGAGGCTCACTATTGCGGTTAGCTCTCTTGCCACCCTTCGTAATGGCTTCCAAAGCTCCAGAGGATCCACGGGTGAACACCCCTCAGCGTCCGCCGATACCACCGCCAAGAGTGCTTGGTACCAAGAGCCCAGCCTTACACGATATAGACGATGAACAGATATACCTGCAGCGACGAGGGCAGCGTTTTGCATTTCTCACGCAAGCCGATGGAAGTGGATCGCGTGGACGATCTCGGTGTATCGCCTTCTGGGCAGCCCTCATCACAGCCCTGCTTGTGATCGTGGGTATCACAGTCATTGTACAATTATATGCTCGATGACTCGATTAGTAGACTACTGGTGTCTCTGATCATTTTCGCTGTCGTCGCCTTTCGTATCAAGGAGGCTTCCTATTGCGCGTCGAAATTAGCTCTTTGAGGCCTGTTATCGCTCGATCCTATCTTAAAGATGGGAGATAATGTTTATTTGACTTTCATTAATATTATTTCATCTCGAGTTCTTGTTCATTAAGTTGCGGCGGCCGGATATATAAACAGAGCACTGAAACCGCTTGCTACAATTGATTGAACAATCGCTTCGTCGTATCAACTGGATAGCACTAGAGTGCTCAACTGATGACGCGACACAATGCAGGGTTAGAGAGGATCTCACCATGACAATAACATATCATAGGCTCGTTGTCTCCACATGTCGAGAGATCGAGGGCACATGCTGAGCTAAGTAGATCTCCATTAAGCGGGCATAGTCAGTGTGTTGTGAACGGTACTTCCGGCATGCCTCCTCGAGACTCTCGACCCTGAGACACAATCAGCGCACTAGGACATTGACTCAGTTCTTGAACGAAATCGAATAGGAGCATCTAGATCCGTCGAGTGAAGGGGTACGCGAGCACCATTTAACCAACAATGGATCCAGTCAAGATGATAGCACACGACAACGGCAGAGAATTACATACGTAGCAGCATAACAGACGCATTGCTGCTACACTTGTACGTCATGAGAAACTTGATGTGTCAAGTTGACACTGTCAACACTCTGCCCTGATATCGGAGGTGCTTACCATTGGACAGGAACACGGCCGGCAGCAGTATTGACGATCCACTTTGGTATCAGGCCTTTGATGTCCGTCTGAGACAGTATGAAAAGTGACGTGTCATTGCAACCTGCGGCCTGCTCGATTATGTAGCCCGAAATAACAGTCTCGGCTCTGATGTACTGAGCGACCTGGTCAAGGCTTTACCGCGTTCGGCCGAGGTATTTTCTGTACTTCTGGCAGCTCTGCGCGAGATGCACTGCGCATGAGAATCAAGAAACGCTTGCCGTCTAGGTTGGTTTTGGAGGGATCGACGATCATGCGACGATACTGTAAGAAGTCCCTTGGCTGCACACCGAATGGGGCCTGAAAGGGACTCTAACAGAGGGGTGCAAGGAATGAGGACGAACCCGCAGGACGCAATAGACAGTGTCGGAGAATTCATCGCTTCTGGATGGTTTCAACAATCTCATCTCACTGAAAGTTTTGTCCCACTCGACGCGCCTCCTGGGAAGACTCTCAGAACGGAAGAGCGTGCTGTTACTGTCACTTGAAGTCATGAATATGGTAGAGTACGAGCTCAGCTGGAGTGTTCGTCACGGTAGCCCAGGCTCGAACGAGCACTGATGGCGATCCGTCAGACTTAAGCTTGACCACCTGAGTGAGGCCAACTTTTCCAGAGCACTGCAGCAACACCTGCCTTGATTTTCGCCTTATCGATGCAGACATCCCAGCCGCCACAAGACTCTCTCTCCTTTTCTTCAAGGAATCGAAACTCTCCCTGCATTGAACGGTGAGACTAGCTGACACGACCAGTGTCACCAAGCCTATGGGTAGCTTATGCTTGAGCTCAATGTCGAAGTTGAGGAAATCGTCAAAGCACTCGAAAAAGACTTCCCGATTCGCCTGATATGAATGTGGTGAAGTAGCGAGCGGCAGAGGTCCCGAGAGTAAATCGAGCAGGCGCTGCTACTGTGTACTGCGGAAAGGCAAATCCTTTCTGGTGCATTGTCTCCCTCATTGGTTGCTCCTGTCGACAGGACCTACATGACGAGTACGATATGTGGCCTGAGCGTCGTACAGGCAGATTCGCTCCCCGAACAGTCCCGTGGATGTCATCGAGATTTCGACCTCTGAAACGCATAGGAAAGGCCCCAGGGGTTGACTGCAGGACCGACCTAGAGCTGGAGGCCGGCGACACGTAGGGTGTATCGACTTCACCGTTTTCGACTGAGAATGAGAGTATATTTGACCCACGGTAGCTCGATAGGGAACCTCCAATTGAGAGAGCATCCGACGCCCTTCTCCACGGTCTGCTCATCTGTGATGTTGCCTTGCGTAACTGAAGGTAGTCATGATCGGTGGCTCCCTTAGCTTTCTCTACCGCCTCATGGAGACTGCCCCGCTCTGGCTCTCGTCTTTCTCGTTCCAGAGCATCCTTATATCTGTAGTACGCCAACAATGCATGTATGACTGGAGTGACCTACACGAGGCTCTCGATGACTTTCTGTGTCGCAGGTGGTGGGTGCCACTGAGAGTGCTCGTATATGGGCTGAGGTGGTACAAATATGATGAACTGGCCTAGTTTAACTGAGTATCTCAGCAAAAAAATCGTCACCTTAATATTGGGATGCTCAATGAAAGCCTTCATTCGTTTCACCACTTCGAAATGCGGCTTTGACGACAATGCCTCGTCCATCGCCACCAGAGTTCCCAGTATGTCCACGCAGATGTGTAGGAAGTCAATGCTTGATAAGGTTCGCCAGTTCTATCATGATTCTCAAGCGGCCCATGCACATGTTATCACTTGCAAGAAGTCCTCCACATATATCCATAGACATCGATGGACATCATCACGACAGAGGAAGCAGCAAAGGAGTGTCTAAATGGGGGGGAGGGAGCACCTCCGTATGTATGAACATACTAAGAGCTAATAGGCCTCTAAATGATGTAAATCCTAGCTCCTAGTAAGATCAATTCATTCGACCGGGGGCGGCTATGCCACTAGTGCACTAAAATATGCCTCAGTACAGTCAATTTCGTCAGCCGGGGCGGCTATGCCACCAGTACTCGAAGATATGCCTCAGTACAGTCAATTTCGTCAGCCGGGGCGGCTATGCCACCAGTACTCGAAGATATGCCTCAGTACAGTCAATTTCGTCAGCCGGGGCGGCCATGCCACCGGTATTCAAAGATATGCCTCAGTACAGTCAATTTCGTCAGCCGGGGCGGCTATGCCACCAGTACTCAAAGATATGCCTCAGTACAGTCAATTTCGTCCGCCGGGGCGGCTATGCCACCAGTACTCAAAGATATGCCTCAGTACAGCCAATTTTGTCGGCCGGGGCGGCTATGCCACCGCTATTCAAAGATATGCCACAGTACAGTCAATTTCGTCAGCCGGGGCGGCTATGCCACCGGTACTCAAAGATATGCCTCAGTACAATCGCTTTCGTCGGTACAGGTCCATTCGGGAGTATCGATTCCGCTGCGAATAAGACGGGCCTTGTTTGGGGTCAAGTGTGCCATCGTTAATTTCCAGGGGCAAACTGCCACTGAATACTCACTAGAGTCTCTTCTAGGTGGAGTCGCAGTCCTGCAATGCCATATCTTAGATCAACTGGTTAGATCTTAGCATCAACAAGTTGGAGTACCACAATTCGTTGAAATTAGAGTTCATTAAATCAGACCGACAATAACTCCTCTTCTCGTACTACTGCGCAACTGATTGTGCTAAGGCATATCTTGGGAACTGCTGGCTGTGATTGCACCCACAAGGTTCTAGCGTGTCACAAAGAGTCTCACCAGTTCCTTCTTGGCTGCGTTAGATATTGTTCCGATCTCTGCGACGGGCTTGAACTCAGTGATAACCTGAATGTTGGGATACCCCTTCTCCAACGTAGCCTCGATAATCTTACACTCTCGAGAAAACCTGCTGGATCTTCGCTGTGTGAGAACCGGTCTGAAGCGTATCGTATAAGGTACTTGAGTCGGCGATGTTCCCGAGATGCTAACAGACGGCCGGTCCTTTGCTGAGATGGAATTGAGATTGATATGCAGGGCCAGACAGGAAAATTATGATCATCACTTCTCGTTTGTCCAATACTAGACCGATTAAGGTACCAATGCCGGCACCCAGAGCACCGAGGACAACCATCCCTATAGGGCCGAATGGTAGTGCCAGAAGACCAAGGAAGGCTCCTGAGAGTATCATATTGGTCTTGTGTGTAGATGTACGAAGGCTAACCTCCGACCCATGCGCCAGTCTCTTTCTTTCTAGTATACGGTCTATGCTGCAGGCGCGAAGTCCAATGTTGGTCGAACAATGTCATGTCCACATCCTCTCGGGAAGTCATAGGGACCTGCTCAAGACGGTTGGAACGGAGGGTATTATTAATGAGCGCTTGGGGATGATTATTCGCCTTGTCGTGTCAGAGGTCGTCTGCTTCTGCTTCTGCGATTATCCATCGCTCACACAGTGTGCCCTTTTTGTATTTTCGAGTGACTCAGGCTGAGCTTTCAGAACTGATGATATTTCACCTCCATTGTAGATCTCCCCCGCGAGGGAGATCGTCGAGAACGTGTCGGGCTCCTCGGAAGAGTTCCCTCGGAACCCGCCTTGGTGTTGGCTGTTACCAGGTCGGGGCCCGAACCGATATTCATGTTAAAGCAGCAGTCGAGCTTGCTAAGTATACACTGAACTGGCGACTTCAGGGCAAGGGCGGCGTTGTGGATACACTCGATCGATTTTTCCGATTGGACCCACTCCGACCCGAATCGACTCAAACCATCATGTTTTGGAGACCGACGAGATCCATCATGTGATCTTCCAAGTCCTAAGGCGATTCATCTGCTAAAAGCTCACAAAGTCGACTAGCAGATGAGGAGTATTAGACACCGATATACCT